ATCAAATAAATAAGGACTAAAAAATAGTTTTGTATGTCTGATAGATTATTGAAAAATATTGAATACTGATTTTTTGTGCAATCAATTAAATACAGCGATATATTGAGTTGTAATGTCATATGACGTCACAGTTATATAGATTTTCTACACACTCATGAAGTAGTGAGCTTCCACTCCTCAACTTTAATGCCTATAACTATACGAATTGTCTTAATTAATTTTCTATATAATTGCCGACCTAAAGAAGAATTCATTTTTTTACATCGCATCATAACTAAATCGTTCTCGAGGTATCATCATTAGTCCGATGGTACCAATAGAATCTTGAAAAGTCACAAATTCATTATACTATCCCGTTTATGTTTATTGAGTAATTAGCTCTATACGATCAAACTTGTATTAGTTTTTATATCCTACTTGTATTAGTTTTTATATCCTGTAAAAAACGTGTAATAAATATACTATTATTATTATAACAATCATATCTGACAACCCTAGTGAGTCCTTGTGGAGCGCAAAATTCCCGATGGACACTCACTCGGCTTGATTTCACTTGCGGAATGCGGCAGCTACCTTATACGTTAGATGCCCTTACCCGGTGCTAAACCTAAGCGACTATATCTATTTATAATTTCTGCATTGTTATCCATTTGAACAATTCATATTAATTATTAAATTGAACTCTGAGAGGAAAATCCTACCTTATTATTTAGTCTTAATATTTAATTCACATTAAGACAAAATGGCTGCATAGCAAAATCCCCTTTGTTAATATATTGTCAATCGTCTGTCGCTTGTTTCCGTGGTTCCATGACCAGCATAACAATAATTGATTTTCGAACCTATAACTTAAAACATCAACACTATTTCTGTTAAAAAAAAAAAGAATTTCTTAAAAAAATGTTACATTCCTACAGTTTCCTTCCATCTCGGCACAGAAAATTGTTGGTGCCACCCAGATTGAAAATATGCATTTTAAGTTGCCATTAGCTATAATATAACCTGTTACTAGGTACACTAATGGTTTGTATCGTACCACACATCCACCGAAAATAATTCGCATAATTTTATACACGATTGATTTAATATACTCGCGCGACTAATCCCTCCTTACCAATCCTATTCACTATAATACTCATGAGTCATACTATATATTCAATTAAATTTTAGTACGGTCACTGCAGCTTATCTGAGCGATATCATGACACCCACTTTTTGCACTAACCAAACTAAAAAGTAGAATATCATTTAGGTACACGAACTTGTTCAAGCGGAAATCGATAAATGCTTTCGCAAATTCGTGAAGAGATTTTCACCTTTATTCCTACTCCCAAAAGACTGCTAGTAACTTGGAACTTCTACACAATTTTCTTTGAAAAATTCAGACATGCGAGCTATTGCACTAATGATATTAACAGTAAGTATATAAATGTTTGTTCAGTTGTTCGTAACAGTTCATAATGCTAGCATTTAATAGTAATTCAAGCGAAGAAATCGTTGGGATGTTTATTTTTAAATAGCTTTTTTAACATGCTTTTCTTCATTTAAAAAAATCGTTTGTTTTTGCCTATGCGAGTCGACCTCGCGCACGAAGGTTTCCGTATCGAAAATGAACAAAAAAAATCACGTTTATTGTAAGGGAGCCCCCATAAATATTTATTATTTTCTGATTTTTAGTATTTATTGTTTTGGCGGCAACAGAATTATATCATCTGTGAAAATTTTTCTCGCATTTCCCTGGACTACGATAAACACTTCAAAACCAAATCAGATAAAACGGCTTAGGAAGAAAAAATATAAGATAGATTTCTCTGCTCTCCCAAAGCAAAACAAACTTTTCCTCTCTAAAGGAAGACATAAATGAAGCAGAAATCATTGAACTAATCAAGAAGTCCAATTACAAAACTTTTTACTCGTAACACAACAATAATAATCCGTTGTCCGCACCCTTCCCTTTTATCAAAGCAAAAATATCTTTTATCTTAACAAATCTAATATCCCTAAAGATAATACAAGTGGACGTTTCATATCAACTTTATGGTCGATCGATCATATAACTAACGTTATATCTATATAACTATTTAACAAACTTGTGTCAATAAAAATTCTTGTAGATACACGATTACAAAGATACCGCAATATTATCAATGCAATAAAACTTTATCAGGTTAACAACAATGGGTTACATATTATTTTACATGTTCTTTTTTTATAAATATCAACTACTAGAGCGTGTACTCTGCTCGGTCGAATAAAACCAGTTAAAAAGGCTAGTCTTCCATTACTTTTTTAATTTGGCTTAGGTATATACATAAGTAATGTTTAGGTTTGATAATTCTTGCAACTGAAAAACGAATTAATTTAATGTAATGAAAAGTGACATATTTTAACGAAGTCATTTTTCGAACTTGACGCTCTGTATCAAATAAAACAGGGAGGAAAAGCAACCCTCGCCGAGATTCTTGCCGGTTCTTCTCGGTACAAGGTCCCCCGTCGTAGATTTACGAAACGATGGCGTAGCTCTCGACTTTCACAAGTCCTTGTAACAGCATAGACTGAATAAATAATTTTGATTTTAATGAATTTTAAACCTTAAACGATTAAGCTAAAATTTAGCATGAACTTTTTTTTTCATCTTGTCTAATTTAGATGACAATGCATGGTTAGCACAAAACATAAAGTCCACAAAATATCATGTAAATCCACAAAACATTATGTATCATTCATTTTTAATTTAATATAGCGGACAGCCGAAATGGCGGCGTTGTCATTTTTTAAGTCTGTCTACGTTTTTGAAGTAGGTACTGTTATTGTATGAATGTCGAATCGGACGGGTGTAATAAGAAAATATTAAAATGACTTCATCCTAAATCCAAGATGGTGGATATTTGCAAGCACTACCATGTTATGCAAATATCAAATGTAAAGTTTCGCTGAGATGATTATCATAAAACAACTAAATCAAAAAAAAATAAAAATAAAATAAAAACACGCTCTTGCTTAAATGCGCCAGTAGAAAGTAGTAAAAAATCTTATCAACTTATCACACTTTAAATAAAAATACTAATAACAATCTCATAAAACCTCTTTAAATAAAATAAAAAAACATTTTACTATAATAAAACAAATATTTAATTAATGTAATCGATTTTAGTACAAAGCTAAGGCTTATGGTATTATATTTTATCTATCCGTAAGGAGACATTCGTTGATAGATGTAAATACGATTACATAACCCTAAAACGTGAATTAAATATTCTTGCATTTAATTGACGGCTTAGGTTAAAGTCCATCCGTAAATAACTGAGGGCATAAGGGTAGTGAATGAGGCGTATTAGCTTTTAATTGTCTATGTTGTACAGATTATCTTACGCAATGATGTATTAAAAGGCTTATTACGTGTATAAGAATTTAATATTTAATAAGAGAGGAATTATTTAATCGATAATGTAAGAATTAATCAATCTAACGTTTTGTTAATATTAGATCGTCCAGTTATCGAAATTCATCAAAAAGTAGCTTTCTGCATTTCTTCTCCGTATAAAATTAATTCACTACGCATACACCTCATTTCATGCAATGTTGACTAGGTTTTGATAAATTTGATATTCCACAATACTGGGGCTTTAGCTACTCGTCTTAGAATCTGAGCAATGTATGTGATGTTGTTTAAAATTTATTTATTTATACCTCCTTTCTCCTTTTATGTCGACACTTAATTATAAAATGAAATATGTCTTTCTCCCTTAGATCTCGATTCCGAGTCAAAGGAAGGAAGGCCAAAATTTTCATCTCGATGGAATTCGCGTTTATTGTTTTCCGTTTTGGGCCAAGAAATTAATATATTTCACTTTGGGCCCGTAGATTTATTTACACTCTTTGGGCCATTGAGTAAATCATATACAAAAGTTCTGTGAAATGTTTTTCTATGAAACGATTAGCAAAAAAAATCAAATCTTTCAAAAAAAATGGATGTAAAATATATAAATTATAGGGCACAACTTGGGCACAACATAGACGTAATATCAGTAATATCAAGAGGTTTTATATATTTTAAAATGTTAAAACTTCTTAGTAATATCAATACTTTACTCTTAGATACATATAGCGTAATATTTAAACTTTACTCTTCGAGTAGTATAATTCTTTGTCTGACACAAGTCTATAGAAAATGTAACTAATTATACTTTTCCAGGAGTATTATAAGTCAACTTACGTGTATGAAACATCATTGGTTTAAAAGAGGTGCTAATTTATAATAAAAAGATACAAATAATTCATCATAAAAATAATCCTTTTTGAAAGTCCTTGACTGAGAATAAACAGAAATATTGTAAAAATGTACGCGTGGGAAGGCAAGAAGTACAAATTAGTTTCTACAAATAATTTCAATGAATTCATGAAGAGTTTGGGTAAAATAAAAATATTTGTTTAATTTCGTCGATGAAATCCGTAATAGGGCTGTAACAATACATTGAAACATATGTCAAAGTATCGATAAATGTTGTATTAATATAGGTTACGTTTTTACATGTCAGATCAGTACATTATGGTTTTCACAAAAAAATACAATTAATCAAAAAGGGAAACGCCAATAATTAAAAAGAAGAAGAAATAATAAATATCATTTTTCGTATTCTATAGAATATATCCATTCTATAACAGTTCCAAGTCTTTTTCATAAAGTCGTGGGTTCAAAAACGAGCAGGCTAAAAGAGTCAACTCTGGATATAATACTATAAATGATTGTCTGTAAACACATTTATTATTTATATTAATAATAAACATTTATCGCAAAAGTATAAAATTATTTATAGCATAAAGATAATAGCTAACCAAAACGAAACATCTAAATATAGATATAATTATAACATCAAAACAATAGTCTGCCCACAAAAAAAAAAAAAAACTTTAAAATGTCTTGTTTGTAGTTGGTAACGTAATTAGTAATTTAGTTAAGTTGGTACAATGTTTCTTCTAATAACACTCTTTCTGACCAGGCGTCGGTCTTATCACTCGTAAGGCTGCCAATGCCGTCACTCCAACAGTGGAACTCCGTCAGGATGGTGACGCTTACACGCTGGTGACGTCGTCTACTTTCAAGACCACAGAGATGAAGTTCAAGCCTGGAGAGGAGTTTGATGAAGAACGCGCTGACGGTGCTAAGGTAATTTCAGATACTAGCTTTCAGATCCTGGTTTCGCCCGCTCAAAATTCCATTATTATCGCCCTTCGTAGGAACACAACTTTCCTATGTCCTTTCCTAAAGTCCACTATATCTGTGAACCTAATTTCATTAAAATAGGTTAAGGCGTGAAAATGTAACGGACACACACCCACGCAAGGTTATCTTCGCATTTACGATATAAGTATGGATTATATAAAACAAGATATTGGTACTAAATCTTTAAAAGAATTATTAATAAATTGACAGAATATTATAGTGAACACTTTACCCCATTGGTTGATTTGTTGTATGGTACCATGTCTATTGTACTGAAATCAAGAACTCGTTTTGACGGCAACCCTCCCGTCGATACCCAGGTGTAAAGTTCACCTGTTGGTTACGCAAGCTGAGAGGCATTTACATTTTATAATTCAAAATGTTTATCTAAAAATTGATTTAATTTTTAACACCTCCTGTTCCATGTTCAAATGTTTAAAGCTGAAATTTCAAACTGCAATTTATCGATACAATGAGTATGTCGATAAATTGTGAAGCACCTTCAATCCTTATACCGAATATTTACGAAAGTTGAATACGTTAAGTCAATACAATGAAGTATTTTTCTATCCTTTTCAGTATTTTAAATGCCTATGATATTTGTAAAAAACACCTTATTCATTTCATTCATTATCTCAATCCAACGGGTATACCATATAACTTATCAAACTTCATACAATTTTATTGACTTGAGTTTAATACCATTACATCCAATTCAATGACTGTTTAAATTCAAGTTGAAGCTGCCCTTAACTGTGCTAATTGATTTCGGTTAACATATAAATTCTGCGGTGGGAGTTAGAACCAATTTAGGGTAGCTACGGTACCCGACACGAAAGTAAAGTAATATTTAAACAATGAAATATTTAAGAAAATAAAACCTTCATGAAGTAAAAATCAATATTTATATAGATTCAAGAAACTTCTATAAAATTAATAAACCTACATATATTTTTCGCATCTGGGTTTACTTTCGTGCAGAGTACAATATCTGTGAATAAAATATATAACAGGTCGTTCGCTGCATATCAACGGAAGCTCGATCATAAAGTTGAATGTCGTATTAATACTCGTATATACATTTTATATAGTTTATGTCTAACTGTGGTCGCTGCTGACGATATGCGACCACTTCAGATATTCTCCTTACATAATTTCAATGGTCGCGTATCGTCAGCTGTAAGGATTGTTCCAAATGCGAAATTGAACCTAAAAGTCAATGTCAAATGAAGTTCATGTCAATGAAGTCAGTGCAGTAGACCTGCCCTGCGATTCGGTAATGATCCAGACCCGAATTCGAATTTACACATGTGTCTCAATTCACGTCATTTAGTATAGAAATTCTATTTCTAGCATAGCATACGAGGGTCAAACTGAAAGTTCTTAGAAAATCAAAAACTGATTACATTAGCCAGTTATTAGTTTTATTATATCTTTTCAAAATATTGTCCATTCACGTCAATACACCGCTGCATGCGATGGAACCACTGGGAAAAGCACTTTGCCCACTCGTCCTTAGGGGTCTCTTCAATGGCATCGCGATACGCAGCCACCGCTTCTTCAGCATTCATAAACCGCTTTTCCTTTAAGTTTTTCTTTAATTTTTGGAAATAAATAAAAATCACAAGGCGCGAGGTCGGGGCTATACGGCGGGTGACCCAGTAATTCAACGTTTGATGTCGCCAAATAGTCGATCGTTCGCTTGGCGGTGTGCGACGAGGCGTTGTCGTGGTGAAGGAGGATCCTACTGCGAGGTCGTTTCTCTCGAACTTTTTCCAAGACAATTGTAAGTGTACCATTCTGCAGAAACTGTTTTTTGATCCTCTAACACAATTGTTGCAAAATGACCTATCCTTCCAAAGAACGAGGCCACCATTTTTTTTCCCGCACTTCGATCTCTCTTCACTTTAGTTGGCAACTCCTCGAAAGGAAACACCCACTGAGCAGATTGTCTTTTGGTTTTAGGATCATAACAGTAAATCCAGCTTTCGTCACCTGTTAGTATGTCGAACACAGCATTTGAGTCACCTCCGTTAAATCTTTCAATCATTTTACGACACCAATCCACACGATGGAGTTTTTGAGCCTCAGTCAAATTATGAGGTATCCACCGGGCGCAAAGCTTCCTGACCGCTAAATGTTCGTGGAGGATTTTGTGCACTTGACTCATACCGATGCCTAAGCTTGTCCGAATCTGTTGATAGGTCACTCTTTTGTCAGTCTCTATCATACGCCGCACAACACAGATGTTATCTTCAGTCGTCGCCGTAGAAGGCCGTCCCTCACGTAAATCATCAGTGAGATTAGTGCGACCACGTTTAAACTCATTAAACCAGTTGTAAACAGTCGCACGAGATGGGGCTTCATCGTGAAAGGCCAATCGTAGTCTATCATAACTTTCTTGTTGACTTAAATGACATCGAAAGTCATAAAAAATCATTGCACGAAAATTTTCTCGTGTTAAATTCATGATGACGTGACACAGACAATTTTCAATTTGCCGCCAAATCGTAAAACAAATGACAAATGAATGAAATATATACTCAGTAATATTGGCAAAGAGTTATATTTTCAAATTTTAGAATTATTTTTTTATTATATTGTTTATAAGTGGCCAGTTCTAAGAACTTTCAGTTTGACCCTCGTATCTGAGACATATATATTGAATGAATATACGTGTCTCAGATATGCTATGTCATTGCGAAACTCACTTTACTTATGCCACGAAACGTTATTCCAATTCAAGATTGAACGGATGACGCTTCTTGAAATAAATGATTTTTATAGAATCGCAGGGCAGCATGCATATCATGACGAACTCGAGAACATTTTGTCTAATGTCACTTCTACGGCTGAGACTGAGATATGACATTTGGGTGACAAAACGTTCTCGAGTTTTTCGCGCTACGCGTGCTACAGTTAACGGGCAGGTAATTTTTAGTGATTGCGTGCGCGGACGTTTGCGTGTTCTGCAAAAGCATGTGCCATTTGAAGTGATGTATTTTTTACAACGCCTCTAAGTGGTCGCATGCCTTTGAAGCAGATGTGAGGAACATCGCTGCGACCTTGTACCTAATTTGAATTTCCTCTAAACGATGTATTATTTACTGAATTTCATTGGTTCCTACAAAGACACCTATGTAGGAAAAATAAAGGTGAAATCTTGGCCGAGTGGTTCACTGGCCATTTCAATTGATTCACTTACTCTGGCCGAGAGTGAACGCATGCAGGCTGTTGGCAATTTCTTTGGCTCGCCTTCATTTGGCTGCAACACAGTGACCAAACAGGGGAGCGGCTGTCTAACTCTCTCGCTGTAAACCTACCCATAGAGCTATCAATGCTCATTTTATTGATTTTGTCGGTTAATGTTTATATTCTTTTATACTCTTAGTTTGTTTTATTATTTACATATTTAATAAATGGTTTTTGATGTGGTAGTAGTGTGGTGTGAAAAGAAACCAAAATGTATCATTAAATATGTAAACAATAAAAATATATATAATTATAAAAGAAAAACTTATAAAACGTTGTTATAGCTATAGCCAGATTTATGACGAGAGAGTTAGGTCGCTCTGTGGGTTGAGCAATATTGCAATTGAATCCCAGCCATATAGCCAAATATTTCTGTTATGGCCGGGCAATAAGTTGCCGATTGACTAATGAAATCGCGCGCCAGCAGAGGTCGCGCGTGCTCCGCGTGTGAACCCCATCGACCAGTGTACGTGAACCATATCTCTGACACTCCCAAGTTTAACTCCCAGGTGTATCAACTTGAAAATCAACTGTTCGTGGTACATTCGTATCGATAATAAACTTGAGCTTTTTCACTTGACATTAGCAATGACCGTATATATTGGTGTCGTTTAAATATTTACATTATTTAATTCGTTGATAAATGTGTGCTCAATGATCGACGTACATTTTTTGTATTTCCAGGTGAAGTCAGTGTGTACTTTCGAGGGTAACACCTTGAAGCAGGTGCAGAAGGCACCCGACGGTCTGGAGGTCACATATATCAGAGAATTCGGGCCCGAAGAGCTTAAAGCTGTAAGACTTTTTTTGTATTTTTCTTCAAATACTTTAAATGCAATTATAAACTAAAAACGGATCTCCTAGCATTACAATTATCTGTATTACAAATTCTCAATATTCTACGACTTCTATCCGTTTTTTCAAATCAAATTATACCTAAGAATTCTAAATTTTTATTACATTAGGAAATGCATTACTGCTTAGCTCGCTTACTCTCCGGGGGTCTAAGAGGTTATGTAGGGCTTTCTCCTACAGATCTGCTCTCAGAAAGGAGTTAATCAAAATCATACCCATTGATACCCACCACCCAGTGTCCCACTCTATAGCGGAAAAGATGCATGGTAACAGACAGCCGATGTATCTTACGCACTAAGTTATTATTTCGGCGCACCCCTTGCAGGGCACCCGCCCTGTTCCACTATGGTAGTAAACTTCTAGATTTCCCTACTTAATTAAGAAACATTCGTTAGTATTTTTGAACACGTCTCATGATTTGGATTCATTAATAATGGGTTTTGTACCATATCCGTTTCCTCAAACAACATATTTTTATGTAACCATATCAAAAGTTAAGAAAAAAACCAGTTGTCACATACCGTTTATTCCATAGATTAGGAAATAAGTCAGGCGTGATGTTCTGATAAAAAACAACACTTTTTTACTCGGCGTCTGCGAACGCAAGGTCATTTTATAAAAACGCGTTTATAAAACAATAATACCTAATCTCAGAGTCAGGTGTTTTTTTTTACTTCTACCTGATATCAATCGTTTTGCCTGAGTCTTTGTTTGTTTCGAATCTTTGTTTAGATTAAATTAAAAGAGCTACGTTTTTAGGGTTCCGCGTGTATTTGATTCTAAGATTTTAAGAAGCCAAGAGATTGAGTAAATTCATTCAATCTCCTGGCTCCCTATCCGGTGTCTGCCGCCAATTTAGCGCCCCAATTCTGGTCAATTTCGGTCTGTTGCACAAACGTCCATTATGGTTTAATGACTCCTTTAAACTTTAATGAATGTCATATTTGTATGAGTAATGTCGCTTTTAACTAATGACAATTTTAATGGATGTTTGTTAAAATGATTGTTAATATTATTTCTGCCGTGTAAGGTAGGAGTTTTAAAGTTATCTACGGTCCTCATTCAAGTGGTTGGTGGACGGCATCTGCAAACGTATGCATCCCTCTTTTCTTATTTAAAAATCTAACGCAATCATTTTGGAATTATTCAAGTCGAGTACCCGAGTTCCTGCTAGGTATTCGAGTCGGTATCTAGAAAAATTATCATTACTACCGTATCAAAGGTAGTGCAAGTTTGTCACCCTGAAACTAGCAAGTTTGATTTAAACTTGTTGCAAGTTGCCAAGTTTAAATTGCTATCTGGGATGAAATCTTTCTTCTATATAGGTAATATTAGTATAGATTAGAATACTCTTAACTTCTGTCAGATCTGATCTCGTCCGCATAGGGTTCGAAATTTAATCAAAACTAATAGTAGCAGAATATGCTATTAATAATAATATTATATAATACTAGCTGTTTTTCTGCGACTTCGAATGCGTAAATTATAGCATATGTCAACCCAAAGAATTTAAAAATAGTTCGAATAGTTTAGGAGACTATTCGATGCAAACAAACAAACAAATAATCAAATAAATATAACAAATATCTAGAGGTAGTAAAGATATTAAAACCTATAATTATTTATATTAAGAAGCGCACCTGCTCATAATTATGAGTAATTGATTCATAATTATAATATCTGATAAAATTAGCAAGTAAAGCTACGACAAAACGCAGCGTTGTTATCTAAAGCTCAGTGGTCTGATTAAAACTTAAGGCTAGGTTTAACCTTATCAATATAGTATCAGTAATGTCGAAAAGGATTTTGGCCATTTACAAAGTGTATGTACAATTTATAACGTTAACGTTAGGTTATTTTCATGCATCTTATTTTCATTTCATCAATCAAGACGCCATAAAATAAAATAGGTACCTAACAGTTACCAAGTTTGCAGTTTTATTATTTTTAAAATACACTTCAAAACGGGAGGTTTCACAAAACAAAATTTTTTTTTGGGTCTAGGTTTATTTTAATTTTCAATTTATCTTTGATAGTGTGCTAGAAAACTAATATTATAGGTTTGTCATGCGAGATACAGGTACAGGAAATTTATGCAGAAAAGTAAGATTTTTCAAAGAATTTCGAAATACTTACAACATTTTAATCAGGCAATTTAAAAAAAAATCATCTATTAAACTCTTTTATTATTAAATTTTAACAGTAAAAGTTTTTAAGACTGATATCAAATCATTGAATACATGATAAATAAATATTTGACCTACGAGAAGCGACATCTATTTGTAGGTGAAATAATTTAAAAATCGGTACAGTGATTTAGAGCCTATTCAATGTAAAAAAACACAATCAAATCTCTACTATAAATACGTAATAGTATTATCCATTTGAGATATTTAGGTATAGCTATATATTCAACACTAATACATACTTCAAACATTCGATAATAGGTTTGCATTTGCTTTTCAAATAAGCGGATGGACTTACAAATATAAATACTCGATACTCCAAAGGTCAACATCGCGTCGGACCAAAGCGCGGCTTCTATTTTATTGTGGAGAGTATAATTTTCAGGGTTCTGTATTCAAAATCAGGACCGTATTATTAAGACTCCGCTTTCCGTCGGTATTTCTGATATATATCTGTCCGTCTGACTCAGATAGTTGAATTTTTTACAGACTTAAATTAATCTTTACTCGTGGGCTCTTATACAACATAGATTGATTATTAATGATTTCTATTTTATAGATAGGTATAATACTGTATGGAAACCTTAATATGCGAGTTGATTTTAACTCGAAATTAATTAAACTTGATTATGCTTTTATAAACCTTTGATATTGTTTCAGGTGATGACTGCGAAGGATGTGACCTGCACTAGGGTCTACAAGGCCCAGTAAGCCGCACAGAAAGACTGTGGACCTCGAAGTCCTATATATTTATCCTATACAATTAGCGCAACTACTTTTAAATTATCTTTATTTAGGTATATCCTATTGTTAGGCGTACTCGTTCCAACTTTGGTTACTATTCCAACAACAGATGATTTATTTTTGTAAATCCATTGTATCGGCCAGGGTTGAATTGAAAATAAGATCCAACTATGTTGTTGTACAAGTTTTTCAGTGCATATTTAATAAACCGTTTTTTATATAACTTTTGTTTTATTACCATTCATACTATTTTCTATATGGCTCTTTTAGTGCTGTTAACATTAATTTTCTTATTATACTTGAGATGTACCCACAATATTATGTTGTAATATTAGAACTGAAGGTTAGAGCTTCTTTGTCAAAGGAACAAGTTCCAGTTTACCAGGAATAGACATTCATTAGCCAGTTTTTTTCTGTTGAAAAGCTCTTGCTCAAGGAGCATAAAGATATTATATAAACCAATTTATCGAATTTGTCAACATCCTTAAAGGCTTCGAATAAATTGCAAGAATATGTTGTTTAAAGCTTTCATGATCATTTTAGAATGATTTTATTTTAGACATGTTAACGACAACTCAATTATTAAAACATTTAATTCCATTAATGTCAAAAAAGCCAAAGACCTTTGGGGCGTTTCAACTCATGTTATCTAATCTATAATACCATTTATTGCGGCTCAATTAACTTATATTTTTGATTAGTGCATTGATGAAGGAACTTTTCCTGATTCAATGAAATATGATACAATAATCCCACTTTTCAAAGCAGGCGACTAGTCTGATCCCAGTAATTTCAAACCAATATCTATACTACCAGAGCTAAGAATTTGAGAAAATTATTTACAATCGACTGCTTGCACACTTTTCGTTAAATAGATTATTTCACAAAAATCAGTTCGGTTTAAGCAGAGGTAAATGTACGTTTTATTGCCGGGCTCTACCGTTTTTACTACCAGTAGTAATACCGGTAAACCGTTTTACTACTGTAGTTGAAAGTTGTTAGAACAGCAATAAAATATTGCTCGTGTTACTACCGTTTAAGGACCCCGCCCTTGCCTTATGGAAATTGGCTTTCTGTCAAATCGGATGAAACTATGATGAATGGATAGAGGAAGTCTTCCTGAGTAAAAGGGCAAATCCTGCGAAAAATAAGCATGGCTCGAGTGTTTGTCATTCAAAAGGCCATGAACACGCTTTTAAAGAACTTTTTCGCGAAAAACAGCTCTTTCTTCCGCCCCCGCGTGTGGTGGGTGGGTGAGGGGGGGGGGGGGGTCGATCGGGCACGGCTCAAGTGTTCCGTCAATCATGAGGCCATTATAACATTATAAAAGAAGTTTTTCGCAAAAAACCGCTCCCCTTCCACCCCCGTAGGTGGGGGAGTGGGGGGGGGGGGTCAAATAGGGTGTCGTTCGAAAGGTCTTGAAAAAATATTCGATACGTATTTTTTCTTTTATGTCTAATTGAACTTTGGGCCGATTCTACAAGGATTTATTGATTTTGCTAGAATCCAAAATCAAAAACTTCGAATGCCCAAAAGTACTAAAAGTTTCGATTTTCGGGCTTAGTGCCCATGAGGACTTTTACTCAGGAAGACTTCCTCTATCCATTCATCATAGTTTCATCCGATTTGACAGAAAGCCAATTTCCATAAGGCAAGGGCGGGGTCCTTTTAATTACAAAAACAAAGTATAAGGAATTTAATTTTTTAACAAAATACAACTACATCAAAAGTATTTAGGGATCAAGAGCTTAAAAAATAATATTTTGTTAATCAATATTAAATCTTAAAAATTAACATGAAACCACACAAAACAACAGGAAAATCATCGTAATTTATCGAGGGCGTGGCCTACCGAGATTTCACTATTCAACAATTGCATATGAATGTGTCTGATATTGTCGTCGTTTATAATATCACGATTTCTCCATTTCCTAAATTGCAGAGCAACAATTCTATCATCGTTAATAGCGTTAAGAAGTCGCAGTAACGTAGATACACCACACGTACAGTGGAATTGCACTTCTTAGACATATCTATGATGCTTGGGAGAGTAAAGATGCTATCGGCGTTTTTTGCGATCTGTCAAAAGCCACAGAACACGGAAAAGAGG